CCGCGTAGGCGTAGACGAACGGCGCGGACACGCCGGCGCCGGACGCGCCGTGGCGGTCGAGGTAGGCCCGCAGCGTGCCGTTGCCGCCGAGCAGCAGCGCGGCGTACTGCGCGGGCGTCCAGTTGTCCAGCTCCAGGTGCCGTAGCGTGCGCGCGCGCTCGCCGCAGGCGCCGCAGACGACGACGCCGCGGCCCGCGTCGCCGTAGGCGGCCTCGCCGTCGGCCGACGCGAGGCCGTCGAGCGCGGCGCCGCAGTCGTAGCAGCGGCCGTTGCCCGGCCGCGCGGCGACGCGGCCGCGCGCCGCCGCGGACAGGGGCGCGCCGCGGGGCCAGCGCCGCCGCCGCGGCGACGCGGGCGACGCCGGCTCGGACGCGGCCCCGTCGTCGGACGCGGCCTCCGAGCGCGCCGAGGACCCGGAGCTCGCGGCGTCGCCGTCGTCCGCGTCGTCGTCCTCGACGAACATGCGCGACAGCCAGCCCTCGACGGGCGCGTCGATGCGCACGCGCTCGCGGCCGGACGCGAGCGTGACCGTCTCGACGATGACGATTTCGCAGCCGCTATCCAGCGTGTTTATCACGGGCGAGTCGAGCTCGGCGCTCGCGCGCACTTGCGCGGCGTCGAAGCGCACCGTGGCCGTTGTTGGCATGACGGCTCAGCTCATGACGGCTCAGCTCATGTTGTCTGTTGCGGCAGTGATGCCATCGTCGTGAGCCGCTTCAAACTGACGGCATGTCTGATTTGTTGAGGCAGCTCGCCACCATGATGGGCAGCCGAATCGCGTGCGCCGCGGCGCTCATTCTCGCGTGCGCGGCGGGGGAGCCGAACGTGACGGCGCTGCTGGACCTCGTCGAGGTGGCGGCGATCACGAAGAACGCGACGCGGCTCGCCGCCTTCGAGGACGCCCTCGCCGACGTGAAGGCGCAGCGCGACGTCGCCGACGACGACGAGTACATCGCGCTGCTCCGGTCCGCGGCGTCGGGCAACGCGACGGCGCTCTTCCACCTCGCCAAGTTCTTCTGCGCGCCCTTCGGCGGCGCGCCGCCCGCGCCGCCGCGGTGCGAGCGGCTGTTAAGGGTAGCGGTCGACGCGATCGACGGCCCCGAGATCCCGCGGTCGGAGCTCGGCAACTTCGCGCTCCGCGCCCGCGGCAAGCTCTTCGATGCCTACGCCGACGGCGCGCCGGGCGAGGTCGAGTTCTACCTGGCGACGCACTACGACCGGTTCACGCCCTGGTGGGCGGAAGAGCGCGCGGCGGGCGCCGGCCGGTGCCTCGCGGCGAACGAGGCCGCGGCGCGCCACTGGTACACCAAGGCGGCCTTCCGGGGCCACGGCGCCGCGGCCTTCCACCTCTTCTTCATCTTCGAGACGCGCGCCAACCAGACGGAGGAGTCCAGGGCGCTCGCGACGTACTGGCTCGACGTCGCGGTGAAATTCGCCGA